TTTTCACTGTTTAATCCCTTAAGGGGGATGGACCACAAAGACTAAGACAAAATTCTTATATAATTTTAATACTATTTTACCTGTTTTTGAAATGGCGACCATACAAATGTATGCATTTTAAGCCAAGTATGAATGGAGTTGAGTGTGTGATGAGTGGAGCGATCTTGTTGTCCTGTTAGTGACTAAGGCCGACGTAATCCTTAGACACAGCTGTTAATTAATAGTCCATACAGTCAATTAATAGCAGCAGAGGTCAAGTTTGGTAGGTATCAAATAAAAGGTTTTAATTATAAAAATACATTGCCCCAAACCCAAACTCAAACGATGATGATGATGATAATAATGTTAATGATGTAGCTAAAACGTATCGTTTGAAATTTAACAGCTGAAAATAAGTTAAATAGAAAAGGTTTTGGTTAAATCCATAAAATTGTTATTGGACACTATAGTTCGGCCGCTTAGAAAACGACCTGCGCGCTAATGGTAAACCAATGCTGGAGGAGGTCGCTTTCTAAGCGGCCGAACTATAGTAAGTACTAGTGCACTTTTTTATATTGATTATATGATTATATTGATTTACTTTGGATTTTAAAAATGTGAACGTTTTATTTTATTAAAGATTTATGGTGATACGTAAATATTGTGGTGTAGTAAAGTATATTATATTGTAGTTAAGTGTTAAATTTTGAAATTTTAGGGTGAATCGAGATGAATCTTTTTTTATAACATGGGTCTCTCCTACCTACATACCAAGTTGGATACATACCAAGTTTCATAAACATCGGTTAGAAAAGTGTAAAGATAAATATTTGTATGTAAAAAATACAAAATGGCGGATATCTGGTTAACGAAACGATTTTGGAAAAAATGTTATCCTTCATTTTCTGTTTATTTTGACCCAAGGAATTACTAGGTAAAGTATCTCCCCGCTTATTTTTAACACCCTGTTTATGATGTATTCTTATAAGTGAAAAATGTAAGCTGGTAATACAGAAAGATGTTTTATAAATAATATGAATGTACTGGTGATCTGTATATTCATCTTTTTCTTGTTCTTAGAACTGTAAATTAAAAGTCCACTCAGCAGTCGCATCGTACGATGTAGTTCTTTCCATGCGTTGCGAAATGTTAAATTTGCCGTCCTCTTCAACCCAAGTTATCTATTGAACCACTGATTGTAAAAAATTCAAAAAAAATATATTTTACGCATCACACTTTTGGCTACAACTTTGCCACAGACAAAACCTCCTTAACCCAAAAACAAACAAAAAATCTCGCATGCTAACTTTTTCATGCTAGAAATCACGATTTAAAACTATTTCACCATACATATCAATTTTTATTAATTAGATCGGTAAATAGTTTAAAGTTCAACAAAATAGTCATCGAGTAGGACTAACCAAGAAGCTCTGTGCCAATTTTCAAAATTTTAGCACAACGTTAAGTACACCAAAACACGAAATTATTGAAGTCATGCGTCGAGAGGACTATCGCTGTTTTTAACAGATTATACTTTTGACCTTCCGGTACTGTTGACTCAGCAAAACTGAACTTATATTTTATCTTATTTCGTTATATTAAAACTGCTGTTGCATTAGGTCAAATTCCCAATAAGTCAATTGCTTTAACATAGACCACGTTTTTAGCTCGGACTGTACTATTTGACTTACTGGGATTTTTGATCTACAGACACTGCAAACATTGTAGTTTTTGACCTAGCGGCACAGGTATAAATTATTTGACCTTCCGGGACTGTTGACTTTCTGCAACGCGTCCGATATTACCCCTTCAAAAGTTGAAATTTTTTCGTTTTCTTATGAAATGTTGAGATGGGTTTAAAACTGTTTTTGATACACATTTCAATAAATATGTACTGATCATAATATTTAGGCTGTTTCTTTCAGATTAAAATGCTTTTTAGCGAATTTCCCTATAGGGAAGTAGCCATTACCGTAGGTCTCATGGTAAGACCTAGGCCCGGGACCGATTTACTTTTTCATTTTGATGTCCCCAGAGGCCAAAAACACCATTCGTTCAAATTTTTCTATATCTATATATAGATATATATATATATATATATATATATATATATATATATATATATATATATGTGTGTGTGTGCCCATCCGCACGATAACTTGAGTAATTTTTGTCCGATTTTGATGAAATTTGGTTTAAAGGTGTAAGGCGGGATAAACTTGAATGAGTTTGCGAACCAGCATGATCGGACCATGGGAACGGGGTTTTATGGGGTAAAAATTGGTTTTTCTCTCATTTTTGACCCCTAAAACACAAAATTTCCCAATTTATCTCTAGACCATATTAAAGAGCTTAAAAAAAACAAATAATTTAGTATATCAAAGTGTTTTTATGGTGTTTTAAGTGTTTGTGTGGTTATTGGTAACGGAGAAAATTCAAAAAATTGTAAATGAAAAATTCCCATGTTATTCTTATGAAGAATATTGAAAATGTTGTAGTTTGTTTATGGATATATTTTGATCAAACTTGGCAAATTTATTTATTTTATACTAAGCTATTAATATTTTACGAAAACACACTTTATTAGTTTTAGTTTCCTTGTGGCAGCAAACCTAGGTACTCATTAAACCTAATGTTATTTAAATAGATTTAATTGAAAATCATTCAGAGAAATGGAAATTTGCTTAGTCGGCAGGTTTGCTGCGGCGGAGGTATTTTGTTTCATCACTCTAGTGTTCATGGTTACCGAGTTATGCAAGTTAACGCAAACCCTTGCATGAGCAAAAATTTGCGTGTTCCGCAAAACAAAAATGGCCGCCATAGAAGTAACAAAAGAGATAAAAAAAATTTTAAATCACTTTTGAACCCAGAATTGATAGAGGTATTTAGGATAAAACTATTATTTATTTTAAAAATGGTCAAGTAACCCCTGTTGTCACTTGATCTTGATATGGATAGACCCAAACAGCTTGGATTTGTAATGACAATTTACCTGCTCTGAACTGACTTAATCCGCACCGATTCATACAGTTCAGTGTCAGTATCGGTATCAAACCCATAACAGGAAAGTATCGAGTACCGACGATACCTCGATACCGCTGGTATCGACAGTATTTTGTTATCGAGTATCGGTATCGGCCCACCTCTAAGTATTACCAATATAACTAATTTTAAAAGTAAACACAGCAAAATGGGAAATAATACTCATTCTATGACGAGGATTATTCTTAAATGGTAGTCTTGAGGGTTTTCGTTTTCAGTGATAGCAGCCCAAAGCTTCTTATTAAACATTTTATCTATAACAAGCCACAGATTTCACTAGTGAAGAATGACTACCTCGTTGAGCAGAAATATAATGCAAAATGCAGAGTCTTTATCTTCATTTATGCAACAGATCATTAAATAAAATTCCCAATAAAGTTTTATCACTTTTGCTCCTAGCAAAAAGCATCTATCTATACTTATTTAATCTATTCTATATTTACTTATTTAATACGTAAGCAGGTTTTTTGTGACAATTACTCCTCCGAAACTACTGAACATGTTTTTGGTGTCATTGGAAAGAGCGTAACGTGAAGTTGTACAGGAAACTTTCTTTTTAGGGAAATAATTAGCGAGTAAGGCCCTGGAGCCCTTTAAAGTTTTGTATTTCTCTATAAGATTAACATGGGAAACAAACATTGTTATGAAACTCCAGCTGTTGTCAGAAATTAAAAGTGAGAAGAAGAACATATGTTAATTGTAAACAGTCAATGTGTTTGCTAATTTAACAATTTGCTACAAACATTTACTGACTTGGTTGAAATGAAATATTTAGGTACTATTTGAATTTGGGTTGGCGTAAATATTACAACAGAAAAAAGCGAGAGAGCCTGAATAAGTTTATATACTAAAAAGAAAACTGAATTAACACTGTGCTGCATTTCTTAGTTATCATTGAAAGAGCTGATTTGCAAACTATGGGAATATAGGAAAGTCATGGAATATCACCAAGGAGAAGAAATAGAAATAATGTTTTTTTTTACAATTTATAATCGTTATTATGGACAACCTAATGCGGCTACGAGTAAGGCTATTTGTAGAAAACAATAAAAAAACAAGATCAGCTTTTGAAAAATGATCAGATATTTACAAGAAATGTTGATTTTATCGATCTGTTATGTACATCTTGAATGTTTCCATAATCTTTGAGTCGAATCTTTTAAAGTCATCAAAAATTCTGACTGTTATTCGTTTAAAATAACGCCTGTAATACTTAGCAACTGCTCGAATTCGAGCATCAGTGACACTAGTACACAAGCAGGTTTTTTGTGACAATTACTCCTCCGAAATTACTAAACCGATTGATATGTTCTTGGTGTCATTGGAAAGAGTGTAACGTTAAGTTGTGCAGGAAACTTTCTTTTTAGGGAAATAATTAGAGGGTGAGGCTTTGGGGCCCTTTAAAGTTTTGTATTTCTCCATAAGATTAACATGGGAAACAAATATTGTTATGAAACTCCAGCTGTTGTCAGATATTAAAAGTGTGAAGAAGAACATAATGTTAATTGTGAACAGTCAATAAGTTTGCTAATTTAACAGTTAGTTTGCTACAAAAATTTACTTACTTGGTTGAATTGAAATATTTACTATTTGAATTTGGGGTGGCGTAAATATTACAATAGAAAAAAACGAAAGAGCCTGGATAAATTGATATACTAAAAAGAAAACTGAATTAACACTGTGCTGCATTTCTTAGTAATCATTGAAAGAGCCGATTTGCAAACTATGGAAACATAGGAAAGTTATAGAACAACCCCAAGGAGAAGAAATAGAAATAAGGTACATACAAGAAATGTTGATTAAACGGTATATTGATCTAAGTACATCTTGAGTATTCCATAATCTTTGAGTCTAATCTTTTAAAGTCATAAAAAATTATGACTGTTATTCGTTTTAAAATAACGCCTATAATACTTGGCAATTGCTTGATTTCGAGCAACAGGGACACTAGTTATTTTAAAAGGCACAAATCAAATTACCCGATGCTGTGGGTTCCAAGGGCCTTTACAATGTGGTTGTACGAGGCTACGGCTACAGTAAAGGGATGCAGCAGTACAGCATGGAGTGCACTGCACGGGCCTGACACTGAGCGAGACGGCTGCAAACTCAGCACAGCTGTCACTAGTGGCAGCTCCCCCCGGGCATACGTAGAAGCAGCTGATATCAACATGTCTTCTGTCAGCTTCTCACCTCCTTCGCTGCGACTCTTCCAGTCTGGCAAAAAGATAGATTGAAAAAGGGAAAACCACAAATCTTAATCACCAACATTTAACAAATTTTTTTTAAAGAATCTATATTTACAGCAAATTAATCAAAACCATAAATAAAATAAGGAAAATTGATTACTCAGTTAACAAGTAGAAAACGATTTACCAGCATTCTCTTCATTTTTGGAAGTTGATGGTTGTTCATCATCCCTGAGTTCTTTTTGCTCATCCAAATGTAGCATTCTATCCTGAAGTTGAGAGCTTGTGATAAAATCTTCACCAGCTGACATGCTGAAATAAAAGATTTAAATATGATATATTTCACAGACAAATACACACTTTAATCTGAAATGGCGACTAATGTTGGTATTTTAAGCCAAGTATGAATGGAGATGAGTGTAGGATGAGTCTTGTAGTCTGGTAAGTAACTAAGGCCGACATTTTTTCCTTAGACACAGCTGTTAATTAATAGCCCATACAGCCAATGGCAACTAAGGGGCCAGGGGCCTACAGTTTATAGTTGAATCCGAACAACATTTTTTCCTTGTAATTAATGAATTGGTTTAATTATCAGGATAGCACTGCAGATAGTCGTAGTACTCACTAGTGCAGCTGTTAATCCACACCAGGGTGTATTGCATCCACAATGCATGCCTATAAATATCCACAATTCGTTACCTCCGAGTAGCTGGATTACAGGACGACGCCACCGTCCCAGTCTTAAAAATATAAAATTATGTCTAGGTATGGCTGGAATCTAAATCGCCAAAGTGCATTTTCCAAGCAGAAAATGATGGTAGGTGCGTGAGTGTAAAATGGAGTGAAATTATGAATATTTTCTACTTTTACAGACTATTTGTTTAGCCATGACCATTTATTAAAAGCCCAATGATCAAGGATAGCTGGGTCCAGTTTTAATCTCATAAGTTAACTAGAGATCTCAAGATTGCTAAAATGCTATGTGAGCACTAATCATTCAGCTACACAGACCAGAGGATTTCTGTTTGATCATGAGATTTAACCAAATCGCTTCTGGCTAGAGAATGAGCTAATCTTAGTCAGCTACTCATATCATCCATTCAAAAATAATGTTTATTAATTTTTGTGTTAAATTACACACCCTGGCGTGTCATTGTACAAATACCAATACAAACTAATTAGTATCATATTACATTAATATTAAACTTACAAAAAGACTTTCCACTAAAAATATAATTAATTACTAACCCCTCAAACACTTTTCGCGCAGCACATCGGGCAAGTTTCTCTTCCTGAGGCATATCTAGACACGCTCTGACATCTACATAGTTTTGTTCACAGATGCCTGGAAAAATGTTTCAGTATTCATTAGCAGCTGATCATTGTGTGGGAAAGAGAGAGCATATGACAAAATCCCCACATGGCCGCAACAATATGATAATATAAATTTTAAAATGTAAACATTCTCTTCTTAAAACTGTGCTTTTTACCTTCTTCATATCGTCTTGTGTAACAATTTCATTCTTTTCTCCTCTTATTTTGTTGTAAAAAAAGCCTTCTTAGGAATACCTTACTTAGGAATATCTTATCTTAATGAGAAAATAAAACCACAATATAAAATTCTGTGGTCAGCTTGCAGAGTTGCTATTATTAGTGTATTTTTGCAACACCAATACATGGTCTACATTACGCTATTTGATTTTTAACATCTGCATAACATCTGTGTAACTGCTTTTTTGTAAGGATTTAAAAAAAACATATTTTTTCCAATATACAGAGTGTTTTATAATTTCTAGAAAAGTTGCAATATTTACTGTATTTCAATTACTTTTTAACAAATTTCCCATAAAGGGAATAAGCTGTTACCGTAGTACTCATGGTAAGACCTGGACCGGGGACATATTTACTTTTTCGTTTTGAGGTCCCTAGAGGCCAAAAACACCATCCGTTCAAATTCACACACACATAGATATATATATTAGGGCCTAGTAAATGAAATAAGTAATTAAACATTTAGTACCCTTTAAGTTATTAATTTATTGAATAACTAACATGTTTCGGCTCTTAGGCCATGATCACAGTTATATATATATCCGTTAGCGGGATAACTCGAGCAAAAATGACCCGATTTTGATTAAATTTGGTAAAAACGTGTAAACCTACATTTATTCGAACGAGTTCGCGAACCAGCATGATCGGACTATGGGAATGGGGGTTTTATGTTGTAAAAATAGGTTTTCCCATTTTTTACCCTAAAAACACAAAATTTCACAATTTCGTTCCAAACCATTTTGTAGAGCTTAAAAAAAAAAAAAATTAGTATATTGAATCATTATTATGCGCCTAATGGTTACGGAGAAAATTCCAAAAACTTGTAAATTTAAATTTCTCATGTTATTCTTATGGAGAATAAGTCAACTGTTGTAGTTTACGTATATGTTCGCACTGTTTACGAACATATTTTGATCAAATTTGGAAAATACACTCATTTCTTACTAAACTACAGTATTAACATTTTATAACAACACACACTTTGTTGTTATTACCCGCCCTGTAGCAGCAAACTTAAGTACTCCAGTGGCGTCATTTCACCAAATCCTTGGGGGGGGGGGGCAAACACCGGGGGGTATGGAATACCAGCAAAATGTTTACTTATCAAAACTCAATGGTACATTTTGTTCACAAAAATTATGGAATGTCTACTTGCAGTATCCAAACTCAGTTGTATCTTTGGTTCACATTAATGGAATTCCTAATTACAGTATCTATTCAAAGTCTGCATTATTGACACGTCTAGTTCACATAAAATGCAAAGTCTACTTGCAGTATCCAAACTCAATTGTAGGCCTATATTTGGTTCACATGAATGGAATGGCTATTTGGATTAATTACAGTCAATTTTGCATCTAACTTATTCCGGTGACCATAATTGTTGGTTATTCGTTTTGTAGTAAATTATGCTGAGTTATATTAATTTAGATTGTTCTTCCCTTTTTCTCTGTACGGTATGTGTATTGTGCTGTTTAGATGATTCGCTAACATATGTTGCGTCTCTTGTTTACCATTTTATCGTTATCTTGCAAATAATGTCTTGGCAACCAATTAACCCATAAGGCCCATGTTAAATTTCCAAATGTTTCCTATTTGTACCATTTCAGATGTATACCTTTCCATGGTTGGTTACTATAATTGTGCTGAATTTGGTGCAGATCGCTTCAGCCGTTTAGGAGGAGTATTTGTAAAACAAAAGCAGGAGTGTAGTATAAGATCTTCGCTTCGCTCCGCTCAATTATTATTACCTCTTGTATTTAGAATTTGCTTTGCTCTATTTTTCTTTAATGTCTTCTTTCTTCATTATTAAAAAAAGAATCATTTGTTCAGAAGACTTATTTGCATTGAACATTCATAAAACCTCAATAACTGTTTACCAGTATTGTTGTGAGGGGTTGGGGTTTAGCCACTGGGATAGTGGAAATATTTTAACATATGTTTAAAAGCATTGTTGGTTGCCGCGCCAGTTACTGGGATTGCCGAACTGAAATATCGTGTCGACGCCGTCTGTTAAAAAGTGTTGGTGTGAGCGGCGGTCAAGCGTGGGTTAAACCGGCCCTGTGTCTATGGTTGAATGACGAGGTCAATTCTGGTTGTATCCATAGCAAGGTACATTTTGAAATCCCTGGTGATGAAAATAATGTATTTCTCTGTACACAGCTTCTTTTATGGGGTCACATATGATGTCTATGGTTGAATGACGAGGTCAATTCTGGTTGTATCCATAGCAAGGTACATTTTGAAATCCCTGGTGATGAAGATAATGTATTTCTCTGTACAAAGCTTCTTTTATGGGGTCACATAAGATGTCTATGGTTGAATGACGAGGTAAATTCTGGTTGTATCCATAGTAAGGTACAATTTGAAATCCCTGGTGATGAAGATAATGTATTTCTCTGTACACAGCTTCTGTTATGGGGTCACATATGATGTCTACGGTTGAATGACGAGGTCAATAATTCTGGTTGTATCCATAGCAAGGTACATTTTGAAATCCCTGGTGATGAAGATAATGTATTTCTCTGTACACAGCATCTGTTATGGGGTCACATATGATATCTACGGTTGAATGACGAGGTCAATAATTCTGGTTGTATCCATAGCAAGGTACATTTTGAAATCCCTGGTGATGAAGATAACGTATTTCTTTGTACACAGCTTCTGCTATGGGGTCACATATGATGTCTACGGTTGAATGACGAGGTCAATAATTCTGGTTGTATCCATAGCAAGGTACATTTTGAAATCCCTGGTGATGAAGATAATGTATTTCTCTGTACACAGCTTCTGTTATGGGGTCACATACGATGTCTACGGTTGAATGACGAGGTCAATTCTGGTTGTATCCATAGCAAGGTACATTTTCAAATCCCTGGTGATGAAGATAGTGTATTTCTCTGTACACAGCTTCTTTTATGGGGTCACATACGATGTCTATGGTTGAATGACGAGGTCAATTCTGGTTGTATCCATAGCAAGGTACATTTTGAAATCCCTAATGATGAAGATAATGTATTTCTCTGTACCCAGCTTCTGTTATGGGGTCACATATGATGTCTTCGATCCCCGGTTGTATCCATGTCAAAGTACATTTTGGTGATTTAAAATTTATTATCTATACATTAAACTTACCAATTTCCTATACTATTTTTACACTAAGGCATTTTTTACATTAATGTGTACCAATGTCCCAAATAACAATAGATTGAATTCAAATTCTTAAAAAAACTTATCATACTAAACCTACCTACCAGTAGAACAAAAATGGTGGCTTGAATGTATAAATTAAGTTGTACGCACCTTTTTTCCTATTCCAAAAAGCCTGTTAGAGCTGGCTGGGGCTTAGGGGTGCCAAATGGCCAGTTTGGGAATCAGAAAGTCTCTGTGGAGGTAGAGATTGGTCTTAGAGCAAGAAGGTCTATTTTAAGTATCATATAATATCAATCCAATATCTGAACAATTAGTCAGGGAGAAAAGGTAAACTTTATTTAGTTTAACACATTCGCTGCTGAAACCTTTAAACAGGCGCTTGCCAATGGCGGCAAGGCCCGGGCGGAGCCCCGACGCGCTAACTGAATCAGCGATCGCTATTGGTATTGAAATATCTCAGTAAGACGAATCACAAAAGAGCAGTGGTGATTGTTCTGCGTTACTCCGAAAGTGGACGTAGTTCACTGAAACACCCAAAGGTAGCAGCACTGCCTGGATCAATAACCAGAGTCTTTGTAATATGGCTCGAACTGAGAAAATACCCGAAAACGGGACAAAAGCATTGCCAGACGGGATTTTACGGGCAATTTTTGTACCAACCTACACCAGAATAAAGCTCGCATTATAAGCTACAGGCTGGTAAAGATTACAATGTTCCCCGACAATGGCTGAGCTCACATTGAAACAATAAACATGACATGGCGCGCTCCCCCACCCGTGGACCCCCCGCTGCTCAGCTGAGACGCGCGGGGTCCACCGGTGGACCCGCCGCATCGAATGTGTTAAAAACAAAGTTTTGTATTTTGAAATACTAACTATACTAGGGACCATGAGAGTCTGCAGTTGGCGGCAGCCAATACCTAGACTGGACTAGCGCGACGGTGCAACATCACCCGTTCACTAATTTTCAACACTAATTAAAATGTACTAAGCAATACAAGAGCTCGCCCTGTGGTCGAAAACTCAACCAAAAGTATGCTTTGTGCAAACTTCTCTATTTTCAACCCATGCTGTAAATAAAACATGTGATTGGAATTTCTTTAATTTGTTTTGATTTTCTGTTTATATTTTGTTGTTATTTCATCATCCAACATGGCAACCCATAAGAATAAGAATATGTTTAAGGCACTTTTTTTTTTATTTAAAATTCATTTTTCGTGCTTATTTTTGAGCCTATTTAATTTATAAAGAGATTCTGCACATCTACAGGAAAATATCTTTAATTTGGTACCAACCGCGTGTAATTCGGGTCCAGTAGTATAGTCAGGCTAGCTGTCATAAGTTTTGCAACAGTTTTTTAGTATATAGGATTTTCATATTAGCTGGTACAGTAGACTCCCTCTCATCAGGACTCTTCGAGACCGAGGCCAGGATGGCCGAATTTCCTGAGGGCTCTGCCCCACAGGCTGATTCCACAGGCGCCTGGCATGCTTCAAATGTTTAAATGATTTAATTTAATTTAGTATGTGAAACAGCTGGTCAGTACAATGAACGTGTTTGTTTATTTACTCGAATAAGATGTTTGTGACGCTTTATGTAGATTGAGAAGGGTTATGTTTGGTTTAAAAGTGAGGTTGTATATAC